ATGGCGCAGTCAAAGTGAACAAAGGATCGAGCGGCGGTGACGTCACGCTGTTGCGTCACGCTATCTGACCTCAAACGCATTCGTCCGTGTTCATCAGCGATGCAAACACTGCACACAGGGCCCTATAGTGGATTCGTGAGGGGTTGCAGTCTTTGAAAGGGCTGTCCATTGCTAATGAGTCGTCGTGGCCTAAAGGATAAGACGTCCGGTGTATTCGTATGTAGCGATGCACCGGTGTTCGGATCCCGCAGGCGGGTACCAATTTTTCTAATGAAATACGTACTCGACAAATGTTCACGATTGACTTCCACGGTGAAGGAATAACGTCGTGTAATAAAAATGAAACCCGCAAAATTATAATTTGCGTAGTTATTGGTGGTAGGACCTCTCGTGAGTCCGCACGGGTAGGAACAACCGCCCTGCCTGTTTCTGCCGTGAAGCAGTAATGCGTTTCGGTTTGAAGAGTGGGGCAGCCGTTGTAACTATACTGAGATCTAAGAACTTATATCTCAAGGTGGGTGGCGACATTTACGTTGTAGATGGGCTACGGTAACCATCGATGTAATAAATAAAAAATCGGTTAAGGAGTGTTTGAATAGGATAAATGAGATTTCAGAGATTCAGATATGCTGAGATTTGAGAGAGAACTATTTTGTCTCCAGTCACTACTCCAGTTACTGTACTTCCACAAATAATTCAAGACCAAAATTAGCCAAATCGGTCCAGCCGTTCTCGAGTTTTAGCGAGACAAACGAACAGCAATTAATTTTTATCTATATAGATAGATGGTTATTCCTCCACCTTGCACGCGTCTTACCCGTCAGGCCGTTCGCGTTTCTGTCGAATTCGCAAAGTCCGCTGAAAAGTAATCCGAGCACGCCAGTAGGCGGTGTAACGAAGAAAGTCGGTGAAAGTTGCGTTACGCGTCGGGCTGGACTCGCGGCTCGCCGAAAATTGACCCGACAGCGCCGCCCGTAACCTGTTCCACTGTATAGATACAGATTGTGTACCTTTGCGTTAATTCGGGCCGGTTTTCGCCACGATTTCGGCCTGGAATCCCATCCCTACGTTTATTCGGGCCGGTTTTTGCTAAGATTTCGGCCTGGAATCCCATCCCTACGTTTATTCTGGCCGGCTTTCGCTAAGATTTCGGTCTGGAATAACACCAATTGTTAGCTGAGCGTCGTGAAAGTTTGCACCGGTTTACTGGAGTAGGGGCAAGGTGTGGCGACAGATAATCGCCTTCCCAGGTGAACAGATATCACCCACTAGCAGGTAGCAGCTTGGTTCTGCCCCCGGTATTGCTGGGGTCCACGAGCGACAGTATGAAAACCACAATGTAATGAGATGTCATCGATGTAGTCCAAGTTAATGAAACATGCGATATTAAGGATAACTGAAAAATTATCGGTTAGATCTTAAGATGATTTTAAATACTCAAGAATCCTTGAAATCGCTCCAAAAAACAACGTTCTAAGTGACGTTTATGCCGTGAAGCAGTAATGCGTTTCGGTTTCAAGGGCGGGACAGCCGTTGTACTATACTGAGACCATAGAACTCGTATTTGAAGGTAGGTGGCGGCACGGTGTCACTTAACACCAGGTGGGCCGTGACCTTGTCCACTCATCTAAGCAATAAAAAGAGCAAACACACGTATAAAACAATACAGTCAAATTAATAACCTCCTCTTTTTTTTATGGTTAGAAATGTGAGTAATTTTTAGGCGTCGGTGATGACTATCCTATTTCGAACACGGGTTGGCGATAAGTCCAGAGTGCAGGGGATGTGGACACGCTTTATCGCCGTAACGTGCGCTAGGCGTTATCGCTCACCGACTTACGACATCCGATTGAGGTCGTCAGCGCTAAAGTGGCCTTACCTTGAGGCGTATTTTGGCAATTCAAAGGCCTACAAGTTGTTTGGCCTTGCGATTTTTGTGCGGGTCCACAATCTTGCTGGCTAAATTGGAACTACTACCCCTCAGGTGGGCACGGTACCCTGCTGCAAAACAGTGATGCGTTCCCGTTTAGGCTACATCGGTTTAATTATAGAATTGAGGCTTAGAACTCATGTTGGATGGCGATATTCAGGTAGCTATTTCCTAGCACTAGGTGAGATCGTTCATTTAAGAAGTTAAAAAATTAATTATGTGATGATTTAGTTTTGGTGGGGGGTTTTTTTATTGCTTAGATGGGTGGACGAGCTCACATCCAACCTGGTGTTAAGTGGTTACTGGAGCCCATAGACATCTACAACGTAAACGCGCCATCCACCTTGAGATATAAGTTCTAAAATCCCAAGTATAGTTACAACGGCTGACCCCCCCTTCAAACCGAAACGCATTACTGCTTCACGGCAGAAATAGGCGGGGTGGTGGTACTTTTTTTTTTTTTTTTACCCGTGCAGACTCACAAGAGGTCCTACCACCAGTAATTACGCAAATTATAATTTTGCGGGTTTGATTTTTATTACACGATGTTATTCCTTCACCGTGGAAGTCAATCGTGAACATTTGTTGAGTACGTATTTCATTAGAAAAATTGGTACCCGCCTGCGGGATTCGAACACCGGTGCATCGCTTCAACACGAATGCACCAGACGTCTTATCCTTTAGGCCACGACGACATCTAATGCAGCAGATGAACTCTGCTCATCTTGTTGAGTTTATTATTTTTCGTAGCGTAGATGGTTGGGTGGAAGAGGTTACTAGATCACCTAGTGTTAAGGAATTATTGGAGCATACTACATGACTGGCGAACTGATTTGCGGCAGAAGTAGGCATAATGGTGTTATCCACTCGTGTAGAGGGACAATAGGACTTCCTTTCAGTAAATATTAGCTGCCAATCGCTACATGCTGATATAATCCTCGGTGGACGTTGATGTCCATTCTCCGACGGATCCCTTAGTTGTCTGCACGTCATTCATAGAAACCGGGTGGTCCCATTCTAATCCACACCGTCATAACCTCTAGGCCACCGCCTTACGTTAGGGTAGTGAGTGGTTTGTTTCGATTTCTGCGCTGGGAATGATCCCCCTCACATCCTCTATTAAGATAATGTGTCCGCGCGATTCTGTTAGCGCATAAAATAATGTCATCTACATAGACACGACTGTGTATGACCTGTGCGTAAAATTGACGTATCCTATTTAAAAACGTCGATTTTATTAAAACGCAGTGCAGCAGAGAAGCAAGCGAAGTCTATAATGGTACAGCCACCTCGATTCCAGAGTCATATTATCAGCATATTGCAGTCCACCGCTGGACTTGGCCTCTCCAATCGTACGCCCACTAAGCACTGATTCTGGAGTTGATATTTGTAATAAGCGCTGTCAAAGTCAAAATCTATATATTAATAAGTGAAGCAAAAACTTTGTACCCCTTTTTACGAAAATTGCGCGGACGGAGGAGCATGAATTTTCCCACACTTATAGAGAATGAGTGCAGAATGTTAATCTTGTATTTAGTTATTTATGAATAATACAGTCAAACCTGGATAAGCGAGAGTGCAAGGGAGCACAATCTCATTCTCGCTTATAGAGGTTTCTCACTAACCCGAGTTTCTCGCTAATGCTCCCTCTGAATTTCATTTCGCGATTTTCCGGATTCAAACGCATTAACTGTTTTAAGTTTATCACTTAATGACAGTACTTTAATTTTCCGTTTTGACATGATGCAGAACAGAACTTTCCTTCGCAATTGATTAACAAATAAACTGAGTAAGTCCGACAAACAGGACGGTACATAGGCACACGTGTCCATTCGAAAAGAATGCGATAAAATAACAACGTTATTTAGTTCCACGAAATAGAATAGATTCAATATTGATGAGAAAACAATGCAAAAATAATGGTAGGAAGTTCCACGAAAGTTAAGAATGGGTCATACAATAACAGATGTTAAATTTGTAATTTGTTTTCTTTCTAAATAATTCATTTCTTCTTTCTAAATAATATAAATAAATAAAGCTCGACTGTCGCTTATAGAGGTATAGATAAGTAGCAGTCTCACTTACGGAGGTCCATGAGGGAAAAAGACTCTCTCTTACAGAGGTTTCTGTTTCTCGCTAATAGAGGTTTTGGGAGCTTAAAATGACGGGTCCTGGCTATTACTCTCACTTATAGAGTTTTCTCACTTATCCAGTTCTCACCCAGGTTTGACTGTATATGAAATCAATAAAAAAAACATTACACACACTACCATGTATTTGATACACACCCGCATATACATAAACTCTTTTGTTTATTGTTAAAGTCTGTAGTCAATTTGAGAATAGATTAATATTGCTTGTCTTTGATAGTCTTTGACAATAGACCCATAATAGTGTTATATACTATATAATAGTGTTATAAACTTTTCCCAGCTTTTTTTTCCNTATGAAATCAATAAAAAAAACATTACACACACTACCATGTATTTGATACACACCCGCATATACATAAACTCTTTTGTTTATTGTTAAAGTCTGTAGTCAATTTGAGAATAGATTAATATTGCTTGTCTTTGATAGTCTTTGACAATAGACCCATAATAGTGTTATATACTATATAATAGTGTTATAAACTTTTCCCAGCTTTTTTTTCCTTCCTATGCTGATAGCCTTGAGAGGCTATTTCAGCGGAACCTTAACTAGTAGGTGAGCTCACGGGGCTCAAACCTGACGACGTTGCTAACACGAACCCTAGCAAGAGCCGTGCTTCGCAGAATCTACCACCGGATCGGAAACGCGACCCACTAAGAAGATCCGGCGAGAAACTCAGTGGGCTGTGTCTGAGGATTAATTTACTCACCGTTCTCGTCGAACCCGTCGCTTGCGACGAAGGGCTCGACGAGAACGGTGACCGGATTTCCCAGCATAAAAAGTGTCATTCAATGCGTTCTGATACCCCGCGTGCCTTCAACCCCGCCACTCAAACACACTCAAAATAGTGGATTTCCTTAGATGTCCATGCATGATGATCTATATGCCCGACTAAAATCATATATCGTTTTTGTTACAGCGATGGAAGCAGCGCTGGGAGCCCGAAAGAGGCCTGCGTGGCCCAGTCGCCGCCACCCGCGAAACGGGACGTTCCCAGACACCATGACCAGCGCAGGATGAGCATAGGTGAGCGGTCTATGAATTTCACCCTGCACTGAATTTTGGGAGTGAGAGAGAGAGAGGGGGAGAGTGAGAGAGGAGGGAGTGCAAGATAGACAGAGAATATACTTTTTTGCACACGAAAACGTAATTAGCATTAAGAAAAACAGTCAACAAGCAAATGTATTTGTACAATAGGCGATCTTATCGCTAAAAGCGATCTCTTCCAGACGACTTTTTCATTTAGAAAAATTCAGAAAAGATAAAGATACAGCAGGTATGTTGCGATGTACTATTAACGATAGAATATTTAAAAAAATGCAATCCATAAATATAAATTTTAATGTATTTGAAATTTCTTTGGTAACCTTATAAAATGATTAAAAGTTACTATAGTCAGGTCATTGAATTGTTTTTCACTTGAACTCATTCTCCACTGACATTGTTATAGGCCCGGCCCAACCAGGCTAACATCGCCAGCAATAAAGGCCTTCAGTCTACCAAGCAAGGCTCTTTTATACCAAATTTATAGAAGAAAGACAAATCAAAGCGCTCAGTTCATTTTCGATATTAGTACAGGTAGTCTTATTTCGCGCCTTCATTATGACATTCTTTGGAGAGTAGTGTGGTTGGTTCCCCTTGAATTCCACGCGGTACGCGAGGAATGGTGACGTCTTCTGGTGCGCACCACCACCCAAAATGAGGACCACGACCACTGCCAAGAGTGTAAACGACTAAGAAGAACTAATATAGATTATGCCAACGTTATCACTACATAGTATAAAACAAAGTCGCTTTCTCTGTCCCTATATCCCTATGTATGCTTAAATCTTTAAAACTACGCAACGGATTTTGATGCGGTTTTTTTTTAATAGATAGAGTGATTGAAGAGGAAGGTTTATAAATATAATAACATCCATTAAACAGTGGAGAAATCAATAATAAATTACAGTTTCCGAAGCGAAGCGAGGACGGGTCGCTAGTGAATGATAAGATCTAATAATACATTTAAAATCGTCCGTGAACCGTCAACTAGCATAAGTCAAAATAAGAAACGAATCGATTCAAACGTTGCCTTTCTCCAAATTTCCAATTCGTAATTCCAGGAGCCGGGGCTGGTGGTTCTAGAAGACCGGAGAGAAGAACCTCGGGACCCTCGGAGCGAAGACGGACGGGTGAGTATGGTATTCGGCAGGTTTCTGGTATTCTGATTAGTTTTATTAAGAATTAAGTAGATGTAGATTAGTTTACCAAACTGCAATAGTTAATAAATCAGGATGTATAGGTGGACGTCATCCACGCCATCCAACTTGAGACTTGAGATGAAAATCACAATCACAAAATCAATAAAGCGGGGATAATAGCGAAAAAGAGATATAAGATATGGATGAAGATTCTAAGACATTCCACTTTTTACTGGTGGTAGGACCTCTTGTGAGTTCGCACGGGTAGGTACCACCACCCCGCCTATTTCTGCCGTGAAGCAGTTATGCGTTTCGGTTTGAAGGGTGGGGCAGCCGTTGTAACTATACTGAGACCTTAGAACTTATATCTCAAGAAGATATTTGGTGTTCGGCCTTTGGATGGTTCTTATCTGGTATGCGTGGATGATTTTTTTAATCTTGAAGTGGTTGAGCTAAAACGAATTTTGTGATAGAATCTTTTGTGGATTAATAAGGAAAATAAAAAGAAAGTAAAGTATTCCAAATTATGATTTGGATTTGACGATTCCACCTAGTGGGATAGGCAGAGACAAAGAAGAAGAAGAAGAAGAAGTTATTCCAAATCACGAGCTCCGTATCAGACAACGTTACAAAGTGTTAGAGCGTTTACCAGCGTTATCTTTTATTAGCTAGAACGGTCTACCCACATCCAAAATTAAAAGATTATACTAATCATCTGACGATAGGTTAAACACAGCAAGTCGAAGTAAAAGATTTAATAAAGATTTTCTTCTCATTTTGATGATCCTAATCAGGATCTCGAGCCAAAGTGGTAAAACTATTGCTGTCTCGGTCCTTCACACGTGAGCCAATCACGTTCACCGGTCGTCCTGAAGTTAATAAAACTGTTCTGTCCTGAAGTTAATAAACCTGTTACATAAACAGTTATGAAAAGTTTCGTTTATAGAAGACATCTTTCGGTTATAGATTTACGCGTCAGCCCCGGTGCCGGTACATCATCAGAACCTCCTCATATGCTGCACGCTCATCATAGTCACATGGTGAGTGCATATAGAAGTATACTGGCATCAGTATTTGCAATAAACCTTTAAGTTTAGCTATTGGTCGTATCTTGAGGGTAGATTAAAATTTGATCTGTTGGAATGCTTGAAATTGAATTCATATAGACCAGGGGTGGCCAATCATTAGATCGCGTTCCACCGGTCGATCGTGGCAAGACAAAGTATATATATAGATAGATATATACATAGAACAGACTGCGCATCGTAATCGCCATTTGCTGGACGCATCATCTTCATCTTGTTTCATTGGTTAATGACCATTACGTCACATTTTTATGCTGTCTTCTACACAATAGCTCTCTTTTATAATATAATTTCAGATTGATTTTAATGTTTTTAATAAAAGAAATATATGCTATATTACTTATTTGTATATTGAACTACATTGTTTCATTAAATTTCAAGAAATGTTATTGGTAGATCGCAGAGTGTTTCGTCAGTAGACAGTAGATCTTGGTTCTAATCAAGTTGGCCACCCCTGATATAGACTGATATCAACACAGGATATAAAGGAAATCAAAGGTTTGCTTTTTAGTGTTTTAGTATCTTAATATAGCACGAAAAATGAAAAACATTGTGCATTAGTATTTTATGTGTTAGCACGCAATGTACAGTGAAGTTCAGGGTTGTCGACCTTGTGTAATACATTGCTGTCTTTTGAAAGACATTCAAGCTCTTAACGTTTAAGGTGTCTCGTTCTCAGGATACGAATCCCTTGGAAGGGTTGTCTGCCGCCGCCGAGGCAGCGGGGGCGGAGCCCGAGATCGGCGTGAAACCCCCTCGGTCCCCGTCACGGAAGCGACGTCGGGTCTGCTCCCATATATCATCCGGTGTGTATTTTATTGACGACTAGCTGACCCGGCAGAATTCGTAGTGCCTCAACCGATAAATAAAAGACCTAAACTTTTGTATAAAATAAACATAAAACAAACAAAAGGAATCCGTCCGACGTGGGACATATCAAAGGAAAAACAAAATTGTTATTTTTATTTAATTCCGAGCATTTTCATATTGATCTACCTTTTAAACCTTCTCTGGACTTCCACAAATAATTCAAGACCAAAATTAGCCAAATCGGTCCAGCCGTTGTCGAGTTTTAGCGAGACTAACGAACAGCAATTCATTTTTATATACATACTAGCGACCCGCCCTCGCTTCGCTTCGGAAACATTAAAACACACATGAAACCAAAAAAAAAAATTAAAAAAAATTAAAAAAAGTAGCCTATGTTCATCAGGGACAATGTCGGCTTCTAATGGAAAAAGAATTTTTCAAATCGGTCCAGTAGTTTCGGAGCCTATTCGAAACAAACAAACATACAAATCTTTCCTCTTTATAATATTATTATATATATATATATATATATATATATATATATATATAGATAATAACTGGGAACGAATCATGCACGGTCATCCGGCCTCAAAATCATATTCCCTGTGTTATAGATACCAGAAACTGAGAAACGCGCTCATTGTACACGTTGAATATATATATATGTATATTAAGGGGTAAAGGGCTATTTTAAGGGGTTTAAGCGACATCATTGCAACTTTGCAGGAGAGCCATTTAAATTTTGAAATTTGAAAAAAATATCGTAACAAAAAATCATTTTCAGCTATTTCAATGGAGTAAACTTAATTGAAGTTCAATTTAAAACATCGAACTGTTGATGCTAATGCCATATAAAACGGACTTTTAATTGCAAAGATAATTTAGGCTTAAACCAAATAGTCTTTCAATAGATAATAAACAGCTAAACGAATAGCAAACAAACCTGTTCATCGCCCGAATGAACAGGTTTTACTGGTGGTAGGACATCTTGTGAGTCCGCGCGGGTAGGTGCCATTATCTTGCCTATTTCCGCCGTGAAGCAGTAATGCGTTTCGGTTTTAAGGGCGGGGCAGCCGTTGTACTGTTAAAAGTAAAACCTTAGAACTCATGTCTCAAGGTGTGTGGCGACATTTACGTTGTAGATGTCTACAGGCTCTGGTAACCACTACACCGGGAAGGCCGTGAGCTCGTCCAACCAACTAAGCAATAAATAATAATAAAAATATCTACCCCTCTGGTAGAATGGTGATGTCTCAAGTGTAGACAGAGTATGTACAAGGTGTATCATACTCTGGTAGACGTGTTCTGGAGTGAAGACCGCAAACCGGCAAACGTAGTGTAGGACGCCCTCCTGCTAGATGGAGCGACGACCTGCGCAAGGCAGCTGGCAGTGACCGGATGCGTAGAACCGAAGATCGGGCTCAGTGGCGAGCTTCGGGGGAGGCCTATGTCCAGCAGTGCACTGCCGGAAGCTGATGATATTGATGGTATCATAGGTACTCTGTACACTTGTCGCGAAGCTATAATGCACTCCAGTCTAATGAATCGGTGTCATGCAATTAAGATTTCAACCCGAAAGACTAAGGGGAAGTAAGGCATAACAGCTTGGGGTGATCATGGCTGTTGGTATGGTTTTTGTAATGCCCTATTTATTTTCCGGTTTTCGTATTCCAGGCGAGAGTAACGTCTCAGTGACCGCACCCCCCGTCGAGAGGCGCACTCCACGACACCACTATCAACCCCCGTGAGTCTACTTCGTTTTAGATAATCCAAGTTACTTTTTTTTTAAGGGCTTTTATGACCTGGTAACCAAGACCTTTAGGTCATGTCTTATTTTAATTTATTATCTTATTTTTATGAAAAATGATAATATGGAGTGGAATGAAATGAAATGAGATGAGATGGAATGAAATGTAAATAATCGAAGTAAAATGGTGGTGATCTACTGAGATTTTTTCAGTGAACTTTTTGGAAGATCCCGAGAAGTTACGTCCAACGGCTTTGTTTCATTTTCCCACCGTTGTGCACTTTCACAGATATTAAACAGTTAATAAACCACCGTTATTACACATTTAAACCTGAAGAAACACTAAATAGACAAAATGAAACAAATCACACAATTTCACTCCTCGCGTTCCTGCCAAAAAGTCCTCCAAGTTACTTACAGGTTATTTTGTTACTACCCACTGAGGAATGTATCACTCCTAGTGTGTTTAGTGCGAGTTTTTTAACGTTCTCCATAGCGTAAAAGTTAACTCGTATGCAGTGGTGGTAGGACCTCTTGTGAGTCCGCACGGGTAGGTACCACCGCCCTGCCTATTTCTGCCGTGAATCAGTAATGCGTTTCGGTTTGAAGGGTGGGGTAGCCGCTGTAACTATACTGAGACCTTCGAACTTATATCTCAAGATGGATGGCGCATTTACGTTGTAGATGTCTATGGGCTACAGTAACCACTTAACACCAGGTGGGCTGTGAGCTCGTCCACCCAAATAAGCAATAAAAAAAAAAATAAAAAAAAAAAAAGTTGGAACAGCGCCCCTAGCGGCAAACGTAGGCGAACGTTCCAGCTACGTACTAATTTGAGTTAACTTTTACGCTATCGAGAACGTTAAAAAACTCGCACTACGCAAGCACACTGATGTTTACCATCGCTCTTGGACGTCAGCTTTACTCAACGTAGCGATCAGAACTAGGTAGATTGGAGTTTATCCTGATGATGTTATGATCTCGAGGAACACTGAGGAGTAGCGCAGCGCTAGATAGAATAAGTGAGTGCTGCTGTTGTGACGGGTGACGTGATGGCAGGATCACGTCTGAGTGGTAGCAGACTTGATACTTTCAGGAGTGTGGTTACGATAAGGTTCAGGATTTTGGTGAGGATATTGACCGAAAGAGAAATTGAATCAAAACATTTAATATAGATTTTAATATCAAAATTCACTTCTTTCGTTTCGCTCCAGGTGATCCCTTAGTTGTTTCTCTTCGAAACTGTTTACTGACTACCTTCATGTCGCTTATGCAACGCTCTTACAGTCGATCTGTCAATTTTACAAGTTTCCAGAAATTTTCCGATAGTCTTATTCGTTTTCACTATTTAACAACAGATGGCGCTACATGTACCGCCATAACACTTCTCAAACGTCCCCGATGTTAAAAGTTGTTATCTGATTCTGCTTTTCAATGACAGATGGCGTTACTCGTTCAATATCATCGACTTAAGACATGTATTGAGTGCCCAAGTCGTTTCAACAACGCCCCTTGTTCTTGATACAGTTGTGTTGGTCACAACGGGACCTCCAGTACCACCATTGTCATTTAAAACTCATCAATCACCATTGCCAAACTAGCACCAGCTAAATGTTTACACATGTACGCCAAAGCGACAGACCCTTCGATTTATAAATCGTGTCTCCTTTCAGCCGTAGAGTACGTTACCCAGGAGGGGGGGTGCCCCCCCACCCGGCGCACCTCGCCCATTCCACGCCCCTACTGCTGGACATCAACCAGGTAGGTGGACCAAATGATGGTTAGCGTTTCAGAAGAGTCAAGTAAAACAGATTGTTTTTAAAATTAATCGTTCATGATGAGGTCTGTGGACTGATCGCCTGGTGCTCACTGCTGGTGCGTTTTAATACGATTCTCTGTCAATTGACTGCACCATAACAAGTCTAACAAACATGCTCGTCTCAAGACGTGTGGTGGTAGGACCTCTTGTGAGTCCACGCGGGTAGGTACCACTACCCTGCCTATTTCTGCCGTGAATCAGTAATGCGTTTCGGTCTGAAGGGTAGGGCAGCCGTTGTAACTATACTGAGATCTTAGAACTTATATCTCAAGGTGGATGGCGCATTTACGTTGTAGATGTCTATGGGCTCCAGTAACCACTTAAGACCAGGTAGGCTGTGAGCTCGTTCATCCATCTGCACTGCAGTGACGTCATGCAATGTTAATTGAACAGTTTTAACGGTATATTGAATTCTTTTTAATTTGATAGCCAATGCTAAATTTTAAAACTCTGTAGATATTGAATAGCGAACGGGAGACTATTGTAATAAAAGTCGAATATAGTCATTGGTAATTTCAGATGTCACTACGTGGGGCTAGGTTAAGCGCTTTAGGCGGGGGAGTATCGTGGCCTCATCGGGATCACGGGCAACACCCCGCCCATCCCGGCCACCCGGGTCATCCCGGACACCCTGGGCATCCCGGACATCCGGGCCACCCGGGTCATCCAGGTCACCCGGCCCACACCGTTCATCCGGCACACGCTACAAGAGCCCAGGTATGAGATTTTCAGATCAACGCAAACCGAAGTTTTAGCCAATAATTTTAATATGTAACCAACTCTACAACATACGGATTATCGCTTGGTGGAACCATCTTCCAAAGAACTTTCAGAACATGGATATGTTTGTTCACGATATTGACTTTATCGCCAACTTAAAGTGATCGGGATCAAACTTTTCTTGCATTAAGTTGAAGAGCCTTTTAACCATCAAAATCTGATGAAGGAATCTCGAAAATAATGCCATCTCAAACCATCTGTTATTCTCGTACGCCGAAAGATTATTTTTAATTGACATGAAATATAACGGATTTATTTTTTGTTATAAGCATAAACATATTAGTTAGTATATAATTTAAGTTCTACAAGTATAGCGTACCTGAGATTTTTTTTTAAATCTGGGCATAGCACATTTGTTAACTATAAGTCTAAATTGTAAGATACTCTAAAAGTTTAAGACTTGTCTGAAATTTTATTTATTTATTTTTCATTTATAATCGACAGCAAAATCAATTTTATCATTCGTGCGTGCGTTGAGCAATATATATATGGTTCAGAATGTGCTTAGTATGTACATAATGTATAGTGTAGTCACATGTGATTAGATTTCATCGCCTGTTGGCAGTACAGCATCTCAAGATACACTGCGGAATTGTGAAGCTATCCAAAAAAAAGGCTGATTAACACTTTGAACGCCATATGAAAAATTGAGTATTTTCATTCAAGCCATGGGCTCATCGGTGGGTCTTATCTTACTGAACCGTTTGGGCCATGAGAGTCACACGAGAGCCGCGTGAGGGGGGTTCAAAAAAGGGCTGATTAATACGTTGAATGCCATATGAAAAATTGAGTATTTTCATTCAAGCCACGAGCTCATCGGTGGGTCTTATCTTACTGAACCGTTTGGGCCATGAGAGTCACCCGTGAGCCGCGTGAGGGCTCCAACATAACAGCTTCCTACAAGCCACTGATTGCAGCTATCAAATAAAACCCGTATGGAAGTAAGCCGCGTGGCGCTTTAGCCGAACCGAAGGGCGTGGTTTTCAAAAATCCAATAGAAACTTGTAGTTTTTATCAAGGCCTTTTCAAATATCCTAAAAACTAGACGGTAAAAGTAGCTGATTTTGTCTTGCGTGCAGATTATTGCATTTTATAAATTTTAGTATAAAAATGTGGAATTGATCAAAATTCCTGATTCCCTGATTTTGGCTTAGTCCGAACGATATGGTACTGTTACAGACTCCCCATGTTAGTTAAAGGGATGTTACATCCTTTTTAATAACCACTGATGCTGAGTAAGCATGGTAAGAAATCTCTTGGTAATAGTTACCGACCGAGGGTCACTCAGTCGTATTTAGTTGATGGAGAGCGGTCTTAGACAATATCTCCTTTCTGCCAATTTCTATAATTTAATTGTTTGCGTAATTGAACTAATAAAAGTGAAATCTCTTTCCCCATTTTTTTTTTAAAACCTCATTAGAGACCCCGCATAACTGTACGCTAGGCCCATCGGTGGGTCGAAAAACGTGTTAAACAAAATATTGTTAGCAATGGTCCAAATGTAACGACGCGATAGGTTCAAAATAACTAAGCACACTGTTCCAATATCAAAATCTGGCACCATCGCCTGGCGCGCATGATAAAGTCGATCTTGCTATCATTGGAGACGATGTGTGTGACGGTATGTGAACGTCAGGGCGGCGGGAACGCAGCCGCCGAGCTATGGGGAGTTCTACCTTCACTGCCACATCTGAGATACCAGGTACAAAAAACTTGAACACACAAACAAACACACATTAAATATTTCTATGTATGTATAATTTTGATTCATATGCAGAATTGGCACGCAGTGATATGTCCACTTGATGATTGTGATATATTTATTAGATATTTTTTCCAAATTAAAATTTACAATAGCATTTCTTTATCACCATGTCGAAAAAAAAACAATGTCGTCAAAGTAAACACAATAGACACTCCTTAGAATTACTCCTAACTATTACTATTATTTTCCTTAAAACAACACGCAAACACTGAATATATAGCTCCTAAGCATTTATCTTGTAAAATGTTTGATTAATGTTATTGAAAGCTCGTGTTAAGCTTAACATATGTATGTGATGAAAGCCATAGGTCGTGTCCATGTTTTTAATTAAGTTGATTTAATATCAGTTGATAGTGCAATGCCGCTAAAATGCATTACGCGTAATTATTATTATTACCTTACCATCAGAAGGTCGTTTATTACATTTGCTTGCTTTGCTTCTTGTCTTATTCTGCTGAGTAAAGAGACATTACCCAGATAAGCCTATTTTGAGGGTTTTTCTTGACTATGTCAAACTTAGCGCCGGTTGATTAATTCCAGCCCCTTAACTGATGTTCCGTGGGCGAAAAGCTCACAAAGCTTATCGAATGCAATTGAGTGGTGTTGCATTGTCATCGACGCCAGGTTTCGGTGATGGATTTTCAAAAATGGATCTGCTTACTGGTTTTAACTGTTAACGCTTTTGCATATGCATGAATTCTAGAATGTTCTCTTAGATCGGTTCTCGTACGCACAATGTTTTATGTGTAGTTGGTTCAAGATGGCACCGTTAAAACTTTTAGGTTTTTTAGTAAAATTTGTTTGTGTAGTTTGACGAAAAGATCAATCGCAACGATGGTCAAGTCTAAATAGATTTGATGGAACAAACAGTAATTTAATAAATTTGGAACTGACGTCTCGTGCATGTATTACTGTCGCTCACGTTTGGGACAGCCCACTGATGCGTCCACATACGCGCTCTACATCAATAACGATCACAAAAATTAAATGTTATTCCTTCGTCGTGGAAGTCGTTCGTGAACAATTTTTAAGTACTTATTTCATTGGATAAATCGGTACCCGCCTACGGGATTTGAACACCAGTACGCATCGCTCTAATACGACACGCCAGCCATCTTATCATTTACGCCGCGACGTTATCGGTAATAGTTTGTTACCGAATAGGTTGTTGATATTTTTGTAACTAATCAAGTGCCTTACTTATACGATAAAGAAGCGATATTGTTAAAATAACACTAGCGAGTAGTGTACAATGAGGCGAATTGATTCGAGTGTACCAAAAAATATGCCCAAATTGATGAACAGGATTTATATTGGGGCGTATAGGATTTCTAGTAACATTATGGAGAGGCGCCTGTCGTTGGATTCTGATAAAAGCATTTTTTTTTATTAATTGCGAAATGTCATATGGTTTGTTAGTGAATCCAGTAAGCAGTTCCATCCTCCCTCCTCCTATCCTGTGCACGTGTCTCCTGTTTTAGCGAATCTGCGGAGCGTTTAAAGTCGAAGCGAGATTTGATCGCGATTAAATATTAGTATTTTCAATAACGGAGATATAATTGAAGTATGCTTTGATTCGGTTTTAGCGTCTGTAACTAAACGATTTTGAATCGTGTGATTTGTGAAACCTTTCAATGATATATATGACCAGAGAACGCTTTCATTGTAGCGATCGAGTCTCGTTAAATTATAGGACTTCGCCTTTATTTCGATTCAGTACGCCGGCTGTTCACTTGGAGCGGTGTATTCGTGTGGTGCCATCGCTGCATTTGATCAAAATGTTTGTCCAAGCTTGAATCAGGAGCGAAAAACTACAAAACATGGATATGCCGCCTATTGTAGTGCGAAACAATCCTTCTCTCCGTTCTAACGACCAATGATTAATACATTAAGTAATGTTATCTGTCTGTAGAGCACCGTAGTCATAATTGATAGAAAACATATAAACATTTACTGTTCTGAACGAATTAACTGTTCTGCCGACGCAAGCAACTGTTGTATGCGATAAGAACTCACTATGCTAGAGGTAGATTACCTTAATACAGAATAATGACGAATACGCCGCGCCAATCAGCCGTTGCGTTAAGCTTCATGGCACAGCGAGACTCTTGCACTGAATGTGGAACGTTGTACTGTGTATTTGAAAACCTCAGGCGATGAAGAGGACATGAAACAAATTGTATGTTAGATCGGAGATCTTAGAACTTATATCTGAAAGTGGGTGGCGTAGATGTCTATGGGCTCCAGTAATCACTTAACGCCAGGTGGGCTCTGAGCTCGTCCACTCATCTAAGATAAAATACTTGATTTTAAGATGTAAGCACCGCTAGACTGTTTGAAGTTGGTTGGTTTTGTCTATATCGATTTTCCACAAAGAGGCTAATGGCGGATATGTGAACTATTCCGTATTGTTTATAAGTATACTGTATCCATTAACTTTGTGTGTCGTTGGAGACTGCCGTGGCCGTATTACTTGCAAGATGCTAAATTTGCGGAATAATTTCGCATTCAATAATAGCAACCAATTGCAAACGCCTAGCTAGCTTAATGGAGAATCAATCAGTCACAACCCGCTCATCACGATCAAGATCATTTAGCCCAGATGCGAACGTCTTTATCTCATACCCTCTTCATTGCTTGACTGCAAAGAGCTTCAAATCTGTTAACACATGAGCACTTGTTTATCTGTGGTACGAACGAAGCGAGAAATTGTTCAATAACGCGCTATTTAATTCGCGGTTAATGAGAATTTAATGAGTAGAAACTGTCTTTCTATTCATCAGATTATTGATCCACTGTACAAAGTTTGAGAGGTTAGCCATTTGATGTAGGAATTGTAATCAATATAGTCCGGCCACTGAAAGATTGCGTTTTTGATATACCAATTGGTGCAGCGATTTCCGTTGGATAATTTTTATTCAATATATACTCTACTTCTTAATTAAAAATTATAGATCGATTTATAATTGAACCACAAATTGGATAAAGGGATTAAATCCAAAAAACAATAATGGTGATAATTAAAAAAAACTTTATAACTTTTTACTTTCAACTTATAGGCTCACTGATATTGAAGAAAATATAAATTCTTACTTATTTACTAATAGATCTGGCTGAAATATATATTACTCATTTATATATTATAGATCGGTCCTTAACGAGTCAATCATGCGTTATTTTACGATTGCCAAAGCTTCAGATATCGGTGAATGGGCCATAAATCGAATATCCCATTCCTGCTACAGTACCTGACAATAAATATCGCCCATCGACTTTTGAATACAGACAAATGGCTAATTTTGTTGTTGTTGTTCGGCATATTTTGTTTGATATTGCTGTTTTGAAAGTCGAAGGTGCACTGTTTATCGTCGGGGACTGTAATACGTCTAAATACGTTAAACTCGCACGTGTACATATTGCTATTACAAGGAGCGCTCGGAGTTAAAGCGAGGATCGCACGCAAAGACGAGCTAATATAATTATGACTTAGATATTACGAAGTTTTTGGGGGGGATAAGAAGCTTGTTAAAGCTATGTTGGGAAGCTTGCCACCAACGCCTGAAGTGATGACCACGACCACTCTGTCAAGAGTGTACCGACAAAGAAGAAGAAATTATAATATGTCCGGTATGACCGGTACCCATTGTGCTAAGACCCAAATAGGGTCATAAAAACAACGAGACTAATAAAGTTTGCTTTGTTGTGACAGGGCGTGGGTACAGTCTGTACGGATTCAGGGTCAGTTATCTCCATGTTTATCCCGTAGCGTGATGGCCTTTAATATCGAGATATAGGTATCGGGTCTAGTTCGCTTAAGTACTTGTCATTTACCTGGTATACGTCTTGGCGCGACACTCGCTTGAACTACCGAGCTGCTTGCGTAACATAAGCACATTGTGAATATATGCATGCCCAGATTTTTGTAATGCTAACTGTGTTTCCGGTGTGGTTTTATAGATTTAGCGATCACTGGGATAGGCGACCGGACATTGGACACATTCAAAACACTAACAATAAGGTCCACCTTTATAGACATCCTAATCAAATTAAAACTATAATTCAAAGGGTATTTTCACTAAATCACCGAATAGAACCATTTTGACGTCAAACGAGATACCAATCACGATCATGTCATTTGTGGCTCTAATTGTCGGGTATAATCTATAGTTTGGTCGATTATTGGCCCCAAATGACGTATAAGGATTTTGCGTTTAGTGAATCTTTGTCAATTATTGTCTGTCCGGTTTCCTATTTCTTGTGGGCTGCGCTGTGTCCTCCAGGGGCTGGTTGGCTACCACCAATCTTGCGTACTTCAGCAGTAGAGCAATAGCGGGAATTCGATTGGTAGTGACCTCATTGTCGATTGGTAGTGGCCCCATTGGCTCCAGTGACCTTACATTATATAGTTCACAGTTTTTTGAGTAAATCTATGGACCTCGTAAAATTAAGCAGTATTTTTTTTTTGTAAATGCCTTGAAGACATTTTAATTTAGTCTATTTAAAGATTGGTTTTAAAAATCAAAAAGTAATGTACGTTTAAGCTGGTCACTGATGAGATACTTCGAGCTGAGCTACCCTCGGCATTGATGAAGGTTATAGGATTGAGGAAGGTCGATATCTGTGACCCCCCTACTCTGGCTGGGTTCTGAACCCGGGTGGAGATCGGACTTCGAATGTGAGAGTGACGTAGGACCCTAAAAATATCGGTCTGCTCCCAACAACTGCAAACCCTCAAGTCTCTCATACCCCGAGTGCCACTTAGGCGCGAATACCTCGTAGAAGGTACGGCCTCCTAACCAAAAAAAAGTCCATCTGTGACAGTGGCTTCACCATGAAACGGCCTGGATACACTGGATGATTTCATCAACAACTGTTCTAAACATTCACTTAGTACCAGTTTATATTTTGTTGAAAATGTATACGTTAGAGAACATTTTAAACTCTTTTATTAATGAGGCACGCCTTCAAAGCTGTCTCTCTGAAGTTTCGGTAATGAAAGTGGCACCCGTCGACTTACCCTATTCTGGAAAATGGGTAATACCTGATCCGTGTTAACACTTCGCGTGCCTAACTTAGTAAATATCCACGATTAATATCGACGTATGATTGTTTTTCTTCATATCAGAGGTAGAACGTCAACTATGAGTTGTTAGATTTGAATTGTCTCGAAGTCTATCATCAACAATACGTACATTTTTAATGACATCGTGAAATATTTGATCTGAGAGGTCAATGCCCCGAGAAAAACACCACGAAACAGCTACCCTCACAAAACCGCTTTATGTTTCCGATGTCGATGTCCGCTTCTAATGTATGTAATATAATTATTATACGTTGAAAAGCTTCTTTTGTGCCTCGGAACTTGAATAACGCCGGTCTGGTCGTGTTCTTTCCATACGAAAGCTCTTTGTTTTTTTATAATCCATATATATAAAAATGAATTGCTGTTCGTTAGTCTCGCTAAAACTCGAGAACGGCTAGACCGATTTGGCTAATTTTGGTCTTGAATTATTTGTGGAAAACCAGGGAAGGTTTAAAAGGTAGATAAATATGAAAATTCTCGGAATTAAATAAAGTTTAGGTCTTTTATTTATCGTTTGAGGCACCACGAAGTCTGCCGGGTCAGCTAGTAATAATAATAAAATCATTTATTGCTTTTCACACTAAATAAACTAAAATATAAATAAAAGAAAAGGGCAAAAGGAGGTGGATCAGCTAATTGATGCTATTCAAGGTCGATAAATCGAACAGCGCTGATTTTCATTCACTCCAGTTTCCCTTTGGTTCATTGCGGGAATGAGGGCTAGGTACGTGTGTACCGACTTAGAATGTGGTATAAACTAGTATAAAGATAGAAAAACAAAACAAGAATCAAACAGGCACAAACAGGCAGCCTACAACGCAACAAATGTTATTCTTAGGTTTTCTTAATTCCGGTATCGATACAGATGGGTGGGGTGTACGCCGGTCTCCAGTACGCGACGCCCAGGGGACCGTTCGCTTCGCCCCCACATCCTCACACGCACTACATCACGAACTCTCAGGTGAGTAAGAGATTTTGTCTCGGCCCAATGAAGCAGGTGGTAGGACCTCTTGTGAGTCTGCGCAGGTAGGTACCACTACCCTGCCTATTTCTGCCGTGAAGCAGTAATACTTGAGATCTTAGAACTTAAATGTCAAGGTGGCTGGTGAATTTACGTTGTGGATGTCTATGGGCTCCAGTAACCACTTAACACCAGGTGGGCTGTGAGCTCGTCCAACCATCTAAGCAATAAAAAAAGCAGGTGCAAAAGGATCGATGAAGAAATATTTGAAGACTGCGAAAATAAATTAAGAAAATTCACCGCATCCACCTATAAGGGAAAATTGTGAGGTATGTCCTGCCTATTTCTGCAGGCACTATCCTGTCTATTTCATTAGGTACCATACCGTCTATTTCAATAGGTGCTAGCCTGTCCATGTCTATTTCTATGGACACTATTTTACCAGTTTCTATAGGTACTGTTCTGCTTATTTCTATAGTTGCGATAATGCCTATTTTTATAGACACTACCTTACCTGTTTCTACGAATACTCTCCTGTGTAAGTCTAATTCTGTAGCTACTGTCCTGCCTATTTCTATAGGTACACTATTCTGCCTAGCTCTATCGCGAAGCTATCACGGAGTCCGGTTTGAAGGTTAGAACAGCTGTTATACAATTGTAAATTCAAAATTGTGTCAAACTCATTCAGCGCAATGAACTGCGACGAATCGAGGATGCAAAGGGCTGCAAAAACATCCCCCACGGTGTGCCTTGAAAAGTGGAAGGACTGCTTCTTCAAATGGGACATGAAACTGGTTGAGTTTCTCGGCTTATGTCCACGTAATCTCTGGTTCTCACTTTGCTAATACCCCCCACAGAGAGGGGACGGTGGACCAAGGCTAGACGTGGACGGAGGTCTGTCCCCACTCCAGCCGGATCTGCATCACGCACCATTACTCCTGGCCACCGAGGTAAGAAAGAGCGAAATACTCTTGGAATACTGTCACGAAGGCGCAGATCATTCAAACAATCATCACTTTGGTAATATCTATGACTGAATACTGTCATTATTACGACCTAATATACGGGCTAAGGTAACCAGGAGAATAAAACGATTGTCTAACTTTATAGTGTAAACAATTTAAGGACTTTTGTTGATTCAACTATTTTGGTGAGCTTTTAAATTCAGCTATTTTAAACGTGCATATTTATAAACTATTTAAAAAGCCTTTTGATTTAACTCTTTAATTAAGCGTTTTTTATTTTAGCTATGAAAGCTTCCTTTTTTTTATTTTTGAACTACATTAACGTAATTGGCTATTTTGTTTGCTTTGTGGATAGAGGAACAAAACTAACCACATAATTTCGAGTGATCATCATCACCCATAGATATCAACAACGCCACAGTCAAGCCGCTTTCTAAACCGATGAATGGCGAATGGCCTTATCCACTCATAACGTCCCAACCCCCCGTGTTAGAGGATTATGAAGCCCACAGAGATCATGGAGAATTTGCTACCACCCACCAACTCTCAAGTCTCAAGACTTGAGTTCTAAGTCAAAGAGTTGATCCCAAAATAGAGCCGTAGCTTTGTGCCTTCGACTCTTGAGAAGACCATACAGGAATTACAATTCTTCCTTAACTTCAACTTACCGTCGGCTACCGTTAGCTGGTATGCCTATAACAGCTTGAACTGAAGATCCCGGTTTCCACAGGCCCGGGGCACCCCATTGGAGCTTATGGCTCCGCACCATGCCAGACACGCCTTGTCACACCATCACGTGAGTATACGTGGCTAGTCATTCCTGATTCCATATTATGATGTATTATTATCGATTCGCACAGCGTCATGTTCTTCGGACCTTGACTTTCGAAATATCACGATATCTAGAGAGTCAGAATAAAATATCTACCCGTTGATCCGTATTTGAGTGATAATGGACCCGACTGAAGAGTTCTTCAGACTTAAGAATTGAAGAGACCTTTGAGAATCAGTTGATTTGAAGGTACATGAACATGTGTCTAGATCGATGGTTAGTGGTAATCGTCGCCCTGAACAGCCAAGCCGCCGCCTGCTGCTCCTCTCTCTTCGATCCTCAATAATTCCACGTTTCAGATATTTAATACCTTGTGAACCGTCAATGGACATGTTACAAAACTTCGACTACCACAGTCCACAGCTTTGGATGTTTGGTGTCAGTCTGGACTAAGACTAATCCCTCCTATGGCAAGAATAGTCAATAACGGTTTGCCGAGTATCGCATGAAGATACTGTACACAACTGGCACTTGGTGTGAAGTGGCTATCTTAGTCCATATTTAGAACGTGAATGCCGTAACCTACCTTAAGACACGGGTTCCAAGTCTCGGTTTTATTTAGTGATCGCATGTGTGTGGTTAGAGCATGCGCGGAAGGGTATTTTGTGCTTTACCGCCGCAGAGCTATTGTAAGCCGTCATGAATACTTATATATACAGATATTCGGTTCCCATGTTTCAAAGAGAGGGTAGCACGTAAAAACACGTTTCAATAGCAAAATGAAGTAACAATTAATGTCATCCTGTTGATACCAGTCGGGATATCAGAGCGAAGTTATGGAATTATTGTATCTGCATCAGTTCTTGACTTGCGGGCGAATTGTCTAGTTGATTGGACGACGCGAATTCGGTCAAAATGGTGCTCAAATATTCCGTCACATACGAACAATAAAACGGAGCGTTCCTATGAGTTCATTGACCGCTCTCGTCAGCTGACTGTCATCGAATGCCCCGTTTTGTTTATATGTTGAACACCGTCTGTATGAAAGTTTGTCTTGTGCAGAGGCGCGCGGGGGGCGGGGTGGGGGCGCGGCCCTACGTGCGCCACGCGGCACGCTGGCCTCACGCGCACCTGCACCACCTGCACGCACAGGTGAGTGACTCTCTCAAACGAAAACAGACCTTTTCATCACATGAACGTTTGTCTGTTGCGGGAATCGAACCCACGACCCTCGGCGCAACAGTCAGAGGTGCTAACTACTGTCCGCGCGCGAGCTCCGAGGATTTTTAAGGAATGTTGACGTAATGAGCTAGTGTTGTCGATATTGCGCTATCGATACTAACACATCTTTAGACTCCGTGCGAGTGTAAATTATAAAATAGTTTTATGAGGGTATTATGAACTTGAAATAAAATTAAAAAAACAATTGATCACGTATGAATTTCATTTAATGAACTGATTTTTATTGAACAAAATGAACGTGAAATCTTATTAATTACTCTCGCAATCAGATTAATCAGCAGTTGAAGAATTTGATGTACTCTCCGCTTGATGTCACTCTCCTCACATACTTCAATAATAAATGATTCGACAACATCCTCCATTAAGCCATCCTTTTGCCAGTAATATTCCTCTAATGCTAAGACATGTTTATTATGCTAGTGCTCGCCATTCCTTTTTCATCAAATTAAATAGCTATTTGTGCAAACAAAAAGACTTATAAGTGTCTCTATTTATATTAGAAATCACACGTAATTAACACTGCTATCGCAAAATTAAAAACAACGAGTCGGTAAGCGTACTCTCACGTTAAGGTCAACACTAGTACTGGGAGAGTGCGGGGTATGAAGCGACGGCCGGGCGCGGTGCACGCACGCCCGCTTCCTCAGCCCCCGAATCTTCGGAGCTCGCGCGCGGAGTATACAGTACCTCCGAGTCAGTCTATACTGTTAATAATCCCGTCACGTGGTTGAAGAAACTCTCCCTCCTCTTGCCTTTATCCCTCGACACCTAACGTTCGAGCCCATTACGACAGTAACGCACCAGACATGTCGCTTTGTGTCCCCAGGGTGGCAGCGGTCTGGTCGGAGCTCCCCACGTCCAGCAGCTGCACGTCGCTCAGCCCCTGCAGCTACCTCCGCCCCCTCCAACTTATCAGGTACTCGTGGACAGCACCATGATATTGCTATTTTAGGTATTGATCGCTGGTGATGAGCAGACGGGCTCGTGTGGTCTGGGGAAATTGCCGGAGACTTTGAATGCCTCACTCTGGGACGTGACAATGAATACTCAATTGTATTGACTGCTTAGCGGGTCTGAAGGATTGAAGTACCTAATGGGTGTTGACCAGTGTCTTTTTTTTCTCCTACCTATGCTGATAGCCTTGAGAGGCTATTTCAGCTTCACCCTAACGTGTAGATGAGCTCACGGGGCTCAAACCGGAGTGTTGCTAACACTGGCCCTAGCGAGAGCAGTGCTTCGCACAATCTACCACCGGATCGGAAACGCGACCCTCTGAGAAGATCCGGCGAGAAACTCAGTGGGCGACCAGGGTCAGCAACATCTAGTATATATTGGCACTGACGGACACTTCCTATGTAGGTTAACTGGACATTTAGTTCTAATAATTCTTCAGGGAAGGAGTAATGCGTGTCGGTGGGAAGGGCAACTGGCATACAATGTTCATTTTGACCAAATTTTTTTTATTGCCCTTGCAACGCAGACGAGCATAGAGCCTTCTTGATGACGAGTGATTGTCAGTAATGCCAGAGACATAGTCGAGCCACTGCCAGATACAATCAAGTCATCCATATATAATTTTTTTTTATTGCTTAGCAGGGTGGACGATCTCACAGCCCACCTGGTGCTAAGTGGTTACTGGAGCCCATGGACATCTACAACGTAAATACGCCACCCACCTTGAGATATAAGTTCTAAGGTCTCAGTACAGCTACAACGGCTGACCCACCCTTCAAACCGAGACGCATTACTGTTTCACGGCAGAAATAGGCAGGGTGGTGGTACCTACCCGCGGACTCACAAGAGGTGTCCTACCACCAGTAATTTACGCAAATTATAATTTTGGCGAGTTTCACTTTTATTACATGACCAAACCCCTCCTACAAACAGGTATTCCTGAATCTGTTGGCGATGTTCCCGCTGTCTCCTTACGGGGAGCCGCGCGAGGAGTCCGCAGACTCCCCCGAGACGGAGAACTACGAGGCCCTTTTGTCGCTGGCTGAGCGGCTCGGGGAGGCCAAGCCCCGGGGCCTGGCGCGGGCCGAGATCGAGCAGCTGCCCAGCTACAAGTACGGAAGCGGGGCGGAGGGCGAGCAGAGCTCGTGCGTGGTCTGCATGGCGGAGTTCGAGGCCAGGCAGACCCTGCGCGTGCTGCCCTGCGCCCACCACTTCCACGCTAAATGCGTCGATAAATGGCTGAGGGTGAGTCGTCCTCCAACTCATTGTTGATATAGTGGGGATACATTGTCGATATAGTGAGAGTACACTATGGCCGCGACTCAAGGGTTTCAGGGGTAACATCCTACAACTGACTAAAACGAGGGTAGACAGAATTATCTATTTCCGACATCCTCTCTCTAGGCTTTAGTCCACCAGTGATCATGGCGCTTGCAACCGAAAATGTGTGTCCCTGCTTTTAGGTTTTAAGGGTAGTTAGATAGTAATACCGCGCTGGAAGGCAAACGCTTGATCAGTGATGCCGAAAGAAGATCAGATCTCAGTTTTTATTCTGTGTACCCTCAGTTACGCGATATAAGGTTTCGCGAGAGGAAGGGATGTACACACATGCCGATCTTCCGTACTGATATAAATGTGAATACTAGTTTGTTCGTTCGACTATTGTGGTATTTTGTTATATGTTGACATACAGTCCGTCCAGAACATTCTCCTGTCGAGAGTCCCTTGTAGGGTCACGCGGGGACCTCACAGTGAGCACTGAACAAAGCATCATTGCCAAAACTATATTAAAAGTGTAAAGACACCGCGTGCTCCGGTGGCGAGGTTTCCTTTACTGCTTAGACGGGTGGACAAGTTCACAGCTTGTTGTAACCTGGTGTTGGGCGGTTATCAGAGCATACATAGACGGGGCCATATGTGGGACACGAGTTCTACTAAGTCTTAGTTTTACAGTACGACTGCTGCTATGTTCTTTTTTTTATTGTCCTTGTAGGCAGACGAGCATACGGCCTGGCCACCTGATGGTGAGTGGTTACCGTCGCCTATGGACTTCAGCAATGCCAAGGGCAGAGCCAGGCTGCTGCCTACCGCTTAATACTCTCCGCAAGCCTCGTTTGAAGAAGGACATTGGATCGGATTACTGCTGCTACCGAGCCAGGCTCACAAGCCGCCCTAGCGCCAGTTAAATCTCCAGGCTCCGCGCGGTGGATGCTCATGAGCGCTCTCCGTTTCAGTCGAACCGCACGTGTCCCATATGCAGGGGCAACGCGTCAGAGTACTTCAGCAGCGCGGAGTGACGTCACGCGCGGACCGGCCGCGGGGACCAGGACTCGTGCACCGCCACAAAGTGTGAACTAGCGTTGTGGGGGCCGCGGTGTAGTGCGACCCCCCCGTGACCCCCGTGGGGATCAGACGATCAGCCGTGAGATCGCAGTTTATACACGTTTTTAATGATGCCTCGATTTGTACAATAAAGGGACGCGCGCGAGTGTCTCATTCCGCCATGCAGTGCGCCCGCAGAAATGCCCTAAGTTTGCGCTAGCAGCCTTAAAAGCAATACGATTTGGAACACGTAACTTTGCATTGATCGAGCCGCCGAAATAAAAAGTTTTGCAAATCTAGATCAAGCGATATCATGAAGGCATTTTGTGATCATGGTTTTCGGGTATTGCCTTAGTCAGTTTGGCTCTGCGAGTCGGACGCTTTTTTAACTGGCCTGGTGTTGTGCGACCGCTTGCCGTCAGCCGCGCGCCGACTTATCCTAGTACAGTGACGTGAAGCAATAATGTCGTCGATTGTGTCGGGGGCGACGACCCCGCGAGCTCGACAGGTCAACGACCCGGAAATTATTAGTGAAAATATACAAGGAGTTTGTTTGTTTATGATTATTATTATTATTATTATATATACATTATTTTCATTTATTAATTAATTAATCGATTAATTTTTAATATTAGTTTTTGGAAATATTGTTGGTCGTTAACACGTGTGTTGGTGTGAAAGTGCGCATTTTAATAAATTCGCCCCATCAAATGCGTCAGTTAGAGGCCTAGTGAGGGACCGGGCTGGGGGCCAGGGGCCACAGGTGGTCACCGCGTAGTAGACGCCCTCGCTCAGTCCCCACTGTTCCGGCTGTTGCCGTCGCAAGACAATAAAATGTCATTTCGTTACACGTCAATAACAAAAACACTGGATGACGAAACGATGGCAGATAATTAAAGCAATAATTTTTTTAAGCGTTCATTGTCACGTAGCTTCCATTGAGGCGGCTCCAAAACAGAGAGCGTTTTCGTTGCGGGCGTATTTTTTTTTATTAGCTCACGTTGGCAGAAGAAGCTTGGTTAAAAAGGCGTTGGACTGACGCTTTGAGGAAACATACGGCATTAGGACGATGTGTTCAGTTTCCTCGCAGTGAGAATTTCAATTACTGACGTGTGCCCGTCACGGAGGACGATTGAGCAAAGCCTTCTCATCCGTCAGCGTGAGGTGATGAAACTAAAATAAAACCCGGAAAGGACTTTAGTCGATAAAAGCCAATCATCAGAACAAAAGATGCCTTTTGACAGGGCAGCTGACGTGTTAATTGTATTATGTATATTTTATGTTTTACGTGTATGTAAGTTTGTTTGTTTAACCGTCCCTTAGTCGAGTGCCATGTCTGTCTGCTTCCATTTCTGTTTTTTTGTTTTTTTTTTATTAATTTCTGTAATTTATAGTTTTAGATTGAAATTTGTTTTTTTTTTTTTTTACATCGCCCGACGAACGGAATGCGATTTGAAAGTTTTTAACGATTAAAAGTTCGAGTTTAGCGACTCCAATCGCAGTGTATTGCCTGTGAAGGGATTCCGAGAGCTTTGGCAGTGTCAATATCAGTGCCGAACCGGAGTTATGCGCGGTATTAATACCTAAGTGATCGTATTCCGTTCGTCCCGTTTCTTAGTACGGTAAGCTGTTAGTTTATATGAAGGTCTTGTCTTAAGGAAGACTCAACTGACGCCGCTGCTGTCAATGTCAAGTGAACTCGATATCGTAATTAATTACCAATTAGACTAATCTAAAGATTTATGGACAGTTAGTTTTGGTATTTTCCTTAGAAAGACTCCCGTTACGACGCTGTTTGTTTGGATTGGGGCGTAGGGGTTAAAGATTGTCTGGCATCAATGCCTGACTCGGTGGTAGTTAGAGCCCCTGACTGTTGCGCCAAGGGTCGCGGGTTCGAGTCCCGCATCGGACAAACGTTCGTGTGATGAACAGGTCTGTTTGCTCTGCGTCTGGGTGTTTATTATCTATATATGTACATATTTAAACGTATATAAGTATGTTTGTCAGTATCTGGTACCCGTAACATAAGGGATCCTAATTAGGGTCCGGATGACCGTGCGTGATTTGTTAAAGTCAATCAAATGGTGTCATGTCATCAATGTGGCTACCGTCGCTCGAGACCATCAACAATGTCGGGGCAAAACTGTACTGAAGACTCTTGAAGTATTCGCTGGAGTATTTAAGACAAACAAAAAACTTTAGAATCGGTTTATCCGAGACGGAACCACGTCGTTACAGTCAAGCGGAACTCCACGCCACGTCAACTTGATTGGTTCTCTCCTGTATGTAACTGACATATGGCTCAAGGTCAGCAGCTTCCGAGATAAGGACGATGCAGCTACTCGTAACGGGAGTCGTATCTGAAGCCAGCGGTGCTGAAAGCAGTATTAAATATAAATAAAAGTAGAATTTTAATAGCGCCACTTCTGTTTGTTGTTCACTCTGTCAAAATACAGAGCGCGTTTGTTGAGTCTCTCGGAGGCGGCGGATCGAAATTGTTGTTTTAAGTTTTCATCTTAAGCTATAGTTTTTTTTTTTTTTTTTCGTTATTTTGTTAGTACTGTAAGTAGCTTGATTCTGTTAGGGCTTGGTATAATGTTTATGGTTTCTATTTTTTTTTTGTTTTCATGTTCAATTCAATAAATTCGCGGTGAAACTTTGATTGTGTTGTTTGAGACTGATTTGCGGCTCGTCCAAAAAATGTTTTCTTCTTCTTCTGTTGAAATCGAGCCATGACTGAATCCGATGCCAGTTCAACTGAGTGTAAATGGCGGCTTTATAATAACAATAATCGTATAAGCCAGCGTAGGCAGCGGCTTGGCTCTGCCCCTAGCATTGCTGAAGTCCATGGGCGACGGTAATCACTAGTGGTCGGAGTAGGTAGATTAATTTTATATACTTGAGTCAAGATGTTATAATATGGACATGCCTTTTATCCATAATGTGTATCCATAGGAAGTACCGGAAAATTTTCCCGGATTTGAACTACGATAGCAGTATACTCTACGAACCGAGGTAAGCGAGTGAGATACCTGGAACACAGCGCGCGCGCATCGTTTTTTCTAACAAACACCCAATGAGTCATACAGGATACTTGCTTCTGATTGGTCGTTGCGTGCGGTCGATGCGTCGTGAACAAAGATGAACATGAGATAAAGTAACAAAAAGCCCTGTCTAAGTTTTGTCTCATACTGACAAGCGTCATTTCTAACACAACAGAAAGGGACAAAATACAATGTAGCTATTCCAAGGCGTTTTTGTATAAAATAAAATACTGATTTCTTTCACTATCAGCTAGTACTGGCAGCGTAGATTAATATTATTAATACGTTTTTCACCTTAAACACAGATTCATGCTAATTTCAAAATTCTGGAACAAATATCACAAGAAATATGAATTTCCGGTATTTTGGAGGCATATCCATATTATGTGTTCCGTCATCGACCTTAAATCAATTTACCTACTCCGACCTCTGGTAATCACTCACCATCAGGTGGGCCGTATGCTTGTCTACCTACAAGGGCAATAAATGAAAAAAAACAATCATGTTCACCTGACCCACTAGGCAGCTTGGAACCTGGATCATATTATTAAGTGAAACCACATTTGAGGCCATCAGCGCAAAAGTGGCTTAAGCATATCATAGTTAGTATGGAGATAAAGAGGTTCGAATTTAACTTTACGTTGCTTCGTAAGTAGTAATAATACTCGCAAAAATAATGCTTACAATCTGTTGTCGATGGGTAAAACTGGGGATAGGCCGGTTTTCCATCAAAATTTATTATCTATATATATAAAAATTTATTGCTGTTCGTTAGTCTCGCTAAAACTCTAGAACGGCTGGACCGATTTGGCTAATTTTGGTCTTGAATTATGTGTGGAAGTCCAGAGAAGGTTTAGAAGGTAGATAAATATGTAAATGCTCGGAATTAAATAAAAACTACAATTTTGTTTTTCCTTTGATGTGTCCCCCGTCCGTCGGACGGATTCCTTTTGTTTGTTTTAAGTTTATTTTATACAAAAGTTTAGGTCTTTTATTTATCGATTGAGGCACTACGAAGACTGCCGGGTCAGCTAGTTTTAAATAAATTGCAATATAAAACTGCGACTATGAAATTTTTTATTGTGGGTTATGCCAGTTTTACGCTGACGGCCTTAATTTAGGGTTCTAAGTCCCAGTTTTACAGTACAACGGCTGCCGTGCCCTTCAAGCCAAAACGCATTACTGCTTCACGGTAGAAATAGGCAGGGCGATGGTAGCTACCCGCGCGGACTAACAATGCGTCCTACCACCAGTAAATAAGTAAATCTGCTATAACTGCAGACGCGTACTGTGTGATTAGTCTCGTCAACACAATCTCTGCTGTTTCAATTCTCACATTATGTTTTCTCTTAGCAACAATAATCCGTACGATTTGGTTGACTCTCGATTTCTACGGTCATCGATAGATCTATTCTTTTTCTCCACCTTATCACACTAAGTGGGTTCGATACAGCTAATTTTTCTCTTCCATTCTCTTCTATCAGCCGTCATGTCAACACTCACTCCTCTCTCTCTCACATCGTGATTCACACACTCCATCCATATCTTCTTCGGTCGACCTCTTCCCCCTCTATCTTGCACTACCATTTCCATACATCTCCTAGTCACATGCGTCTCCTCTCCACGCATCACATGTCCACAGCACGCTAACTGTAGGCTCTTTCATTTTTTGATTACCGGGGCTACTTTCAAACTTATTTTTATAAAGTTAACTTTTAGTTCGCATCCAAATTAACGCAGTCGCCGCTGTCAGCTTTGAACAGAGGGCAAGGTAAATGAAACAGTAATGTATGATCAGAAATTGTACGAACCTTAGGGCATTGTGTCAGAGACACAGTGAATTGCGATGCAGAACCAGCGTGCTTAACGCGAGTTTTTTAACGTACTCGATAGCGTAAAAGTTAACTCTGGTATGGAGTTGGAACGTTTGCCTACGTTTGCCGCTAGGGGCGCTGTTCTAACTGCATACAAATTTGAGTTAACTTTTACGCTATCGAGAACGTTAAAAAACTCGCACTAAGCTCAGCAATCGCTCGCTTCGACAACCTTTTTGGAGTCTATAGACAACAGTCATATACTGACATTTTATAATCTCTACTAGCAGAGCCGGCCACACGTTGCTGTGGCTAAGGTTTTTGTTTCTAAACACGTGGCCGGCTATGCAATACCAAAAATTAACAAAGCAAGAACAATTGGATTTCACTGTATTGCGTTTACTACGAAATAAATTTCACTTATAGCTTAGCCTCAGCAACACGTGGTGTTTATGCCATTAAATTGTAGCTTATGTGAAACGTTGGTATTTTTAACACAGCGCCATCTATGAGATGTCGGACAGTATTATAATTGTCTGGAAAAACTGATTTAAAGCACCATCTGTTTTAGACTTATGAATATTAAATTAATAATAGTAATCAACATAAGAAATCATTTTATTGTTAATCAATAAATATTGCGACCATTAATCGGAATAAAAACCATCCTATGGCCTAAGTTGGAACAAAACACATATTAAAAAAAAGGAAAAGTTAAAATCGGTTCAGTAGTTTAGGTATCCATCGCGGACAAACAACGTGACCAGATATATAGAAGGGTGAAAGGCTGTATAGTTTAAGGGACATTTATCTTTGTAATTAAAGGTCCGTTTTATTTGATATCAGCATCGACAGTTCGATGTTTTCAATTGAACTTTAATTATGTTCATTCCATTCAAATATTTGAAGAAGTTTTTTTTTTGTAATGATACTTTTTCTATACTTTAAATGGCTCTCCTGTAAAGTTGCAAAGATGTCGCTTAACCCGAATAGTCTTTCTTTTTTTGTTTTTTTTTTCCTACCTAAATAGTAGGTGAGCTCACGGGGCTCAAACCTGATGACGTTGCTAACACGAACCCTAGCAAGAGCCGTGTTTCGCAGAATCTACCACCGGATCGGAAACGCGACCCACTGAGAAGATCCGGCGAGAAACTCAGTGGGCTGTGTCTGAGGGTTAATCTGCTCGTCAGGCTTTTCGTCGCGAGCGACGGGTTCGACGAGAACGGTGACCGGTGCTTGAGGTACCTAAAAGCACCGTTAGTGGATCGGGAGGATCCGAAATGACGTGTTTGGGGCGACGTCGACTGCTTTCCATTCTTTCCGCAGGATCGGGAATGAGGTCTTTCCCCTGTCGATATATAAATATGTATAAAAATGAAATTGTTCCGAAATTTGCACTAACAGAATCGGAGTCAATCAAATCGAATGTAATTCGGAGTCGTATTATTGTTTGTAGCAATATTTTTGTCCTGTTTTTCCCCATTTTATATATTATATATGTATCATAACATTTTGTATGCGTTAAAAATTTAAAGCTTCTATATTAAAACGAAGCTAAGTTATTTTCTATTAAATACACTGCTGTATTATTATTTTGTGTTGCAGTTTTATTTTTTTTGTTTGGATTTACGTTAACGCTTTGACTGCCGTGTAGGTCACCGGTGCCCTGCGCGGCGCACTGAAGTAATTATGTCGATTTCGCTCCTCGATCTTTTTAATAAGGCGCCGGAATGTCTAGTAGACTGGGAAAAACGAATCCGAAGATGCAATAACAAACAAAAGAAGGCACAGTTAGGCAATTCAGGTTCTTAGTAACAAAAATCGACATAGGTACTCCAGTGCGCCGCGTAGGGCACCGGTGACCTAGGCGGCAGTGAACGTGTTAATAATTGCGAGATATTTCCGGCTTTGAACTCGGAGGGCAGAATAGAAATTCTCTTGTGTGATTTTGGTTAAAGAATCAAGATGGAAAGTATCAGGTCATAGACAGAGAAAGAGAGAACACAGTTTATTGCACACCAAAATACAATTTACATTAAAATAAATAATAGTTTAAAAAAAACTAACAAAATACGCTTTTATAGAAAATCCATTTCAATTTTGTCAATATTTTTTTTCAATATATTTTTTTTTAATATTGAATTGTCATCGGTCCTTAATAAGTATACCAAATTTCGAGTTAATCCGACGTTTTGAAAGTCAAAATCATGTTCAAAGATTCCGTTACATACTAACACACATACGTCTG